TGGTTACCATGATGACATAATCATGTGGTTGAATTTTCACCCTCAAAACAACAGTTGATTACTTTGTTTCAAATCCAATGTTTTTCCACGTAGATTCCATATCATAATACGTTGACAAATTACGTTGAAACAACGTTGATTCAACCAGTTTGTGCCCAGTGGTCTGCCTCCAATACACTAATTCTCTCTCATTCATAAAAACGACACCCCCTCAATGAAAGGTCCCTTTCTGACCCCGTCCAGTTTTACACACGAACACCCACATGAACATCCATTCACAGGAGAACAGAGCCTCAAGCTCCAAGGCTCACTGCAGAAAGGGAAACGGGGTCGGTCCACCACTGACTGTTGTTTCACTGTGAAGCAAAATAGTCAGTCTCAGTGAAGCAAATGAGGTGTGTGTGGGTGTGTTCGTGTGCACCCTTCTACAGGGGTGTTCTGGCTCTGTACAAGGCCTATACAACAGCTTTTTTTCTCAAGTATTCTGAAGTCTACTGTACTCAGAGTCTGGCCTAAGTTACGGCCTGAACTGACTGGACAGAAAGATACGTTTCCTGAGAGTTAGTTTATTCTGGCACAGTCTCGGCACACCCCGATGGATGGACGGAGTCAGAGAGAACAATGGCTGGCGCTGAGAGGTCATAACCTCCCAATTAGCTACTACAGCCTCTGATGTGTTGAGTTGTGTCTGTCACCGTGCCGTGTAAAAGAGGCTACCTACCTGAGAGCACACAGGTGACATGGGTCCAGGAGCACCCCCAGATGCCCCAGCACGTCCAATGAAAGGCCAGTGTTGTGGCTTCACACACGTGTGTCAACAGCCTGTCTGGACTTCTAGCATCTTGGCTTTCAGGCTTCATCCCTTCATACACCCTCTTTCATTTCTCTCCCTCTCTCATTTCTCTCCCTCTCTCATTTCTCTCTCTCTCTCTATAATTGTTTCTGTTCCCACTCTCTCTTTCTCCTCTTCCTCCTTCTCTCTCTCCCTCCTGCTCCTTCTCTATCACTCATCCCCCTGCTCCATCTCTCCCTCTCTAGCCTCATCTGGATCTGAACATAATCTCCATGTCTGTCTAATGCATCTGGTCTCTCAGGGTCTTGTTCCCCTCCTCTCTCCCCTGATCAAGGCTCTCTACACCAGGCAGAAATCACAGCCTCACCCCCCTGTGATGATAACCCTGGAACAAGGACTTATCACCAAGATACTGTAAGTACAAATTCTTCTTGTAGTCATCAATGATCTTGCTGAACCATTCTACTGGCAATTTGGCTTAATTTTCAGCAGCAAATGGATCTAATTCTTCAACATTTGAGGGGTGCCCTTCACTAACTGCTGTTTTCAGATCTCGCCATAGGTTTTGGATGTGATTCAGATCTGGACTCTTTGCTGGCCACTCCAGAACAGACCAGCATCTCTGAACCATTCCAGAGACACAGTCCAAAAACTGCCTCTGTTAAAGGTTGTGAGTCTTCCAGCAGGACAACAACCCCAAACACACATCAAAAGCACCCTGGAATGGTTCAAGAAGAAACGTTGGATTATTCTGGAGTGGCCAGCGCAGAGTCCAGATCTGAATCACATCCATGGCGAGAGCTGAGGAGGGCACCACTCAAACATAGAAGAATTAGAGCAGTTTGCTGCTGAAGAGTGGGCCAAATTGCCAGCAGTAATATGCAGCAAGCTTATTGATGGCTACATGAATAATTTGTTGGCGTTATCTTGGGAAAGGCTGCGCAACCAAGTACTAGCTCCGGGGTGCCAATAATTTTGGCAATGCCATTTGTCTTTATTTTCAAATTAAATTGTAAACTTTAGTTGACAAAAATAAAATTGGTTCTGCAATGTTGAAAATACATTAACAATGTGTGGAGACCAAACATTTTTTTCAATTTCAGCTTATTTTAGACAAATATGGAATTATTTAATAAAAGCGCAAGGGTGCCAATATATTTGGCAACAACCGTAACAATACAGTATATCCTAATGGCACTTTCTATATCATTTTCATGGGAACTATTTTTATTCTCCATTATGTGTGAATTAGTGTGTAAGCCCGTTATTAATGTGTCCAGGTATTATAAATGTTCCCAGGGCTTATAAATGTGCCCAGGTATGCAGGGGAAACCACTGGAGTGATTAGTGAAGTACCTGTTTGTCCATCACATGGGAAAGTTGTGCGGAAATAATGCTAGAAGCTCAGGGCCACATTCAGTTGCCGAACGTATAGAACGTTGCAGATAGAAATGCATGAATAGAGCCGACGTGATTCCTTATTCTACATGTCAGAGTGGCATGTTTGTTCAACATAACACATTTCTATCTGAACGTTTCCAAAACGTTGCGTACTGATGAACGCGCTCCTGGGCAAATTTTAAGAGACTCGGCGGCGCGCCTGCGCGTCTCTTCAGCACTAGGAAAGTTTTACTGCAAATTGAGCGAAGTAGAGGAGAACACTTGAAACTGCGGAGCAGCACAATGCATTGGCTTGAGTGAGGAGGCATCAAGCAAAAGAGAACGAAATAAAACAAAACAATACGTTTTTCATTGAAGTTTAAAACAAGAAAGAAGGAATTGTCAAATAAGTTTAGGTAATAACTTTGGAAAGTCGGATATCGCATCATAACGCACTGTGAGTAGCATGTGTTTTTTTTGTGTGTGATTTTGTTGCAGGAAAAGGTGGAAATAACCATGAGAAGACTACGATAAACCGGGGAATTACATTGTAGGCTTATAAGGCATTATTGCAAATTCGCTATAGCCTAAACAATTGTTTTTATAAAGTAATTTAGCCTACATTTAATTGAGAAAAAAACATGCAGAGATGATCATATTATAATAATTGGTCATTTAGCAGACGCTCTTATCCAGAGCGACTTACAGGAGCAATTAGGGTTAAGTGCCTTGCTCAAGGGCACATCGACAGATTTTTCACCTAGTCGGCTCGGGGATTAGAACCAGCGACCTTTCGGTTACTGGCACAAAGCTCTTAACCACTAAGCTACCTGCCGCCCATTTTATTATGAATATTCACAGTAGGCCCCTGCTACCCAGGTGGCTGAGTGTTTTAAATGAAAGTCTATTTTAGGAACTGACACGGTTTAGACTAAATCTGTCAATTGATGTGTTTGTTTTGGGGGTGTCCACACAAAATCAGTACTCTTAACGTTGGGCCTACTCTTCTTTCCTCCTTGAATTAAAACCATCAGGCTATGAACTTTCTTCGTAGGTCTACTCCTCCTAAATTATGTATTTATTTATTAGTATGTTTACTTTTAAAGAATGACTGTCTTGGCTGTATACAAAGAAAGCGTTCCGATTGAATGAGTAATTTACGGAAGGCCAAATCAGAGATGGTCTTTGGCTGTGTTTAGACAGGCAGCACAAATCTGATATTTTTTTTTAACTTATTGGTCTTTTGCCCTATCAGATCAGCTCTGGAAAAAAATCTAACGTGGAAGATGTGATGTGATTGGTAAAAAAAGATCAGAATTGGGCAGCCTGTCTAAAAGCAGCCTCTGTAGCGCGCTCATGCGGTGCGAAGTGAAACAACTAACATGGCATTAATCACTGGCCTCAGAGCGCCATTGTGCCCCAGTGTTGTCATTCATGAAAATAATACCACACGAGGAGGCCCATATGTTGCCATTTATGATTGAATAACTTATATTTTCAATCAGAAAAACATGCACTTGAAACCTGAATGACTCATTTGTGTAATTGCAGGTTAGGCCTATCCAAAACTTTCCAGTGGGTTCATGACGCTTACTGCTAATTTTCAGAATCTGTTTAATATTCGTGACTGGACATGTCCTATCTGAAGAGAATCTAGTCATATTAGACACGAGAAATGTAGGGACGTTTACTGTTACACCTTTCCTTGTGTGTGAGCGGGAGAGAGGGTAGATCACCTGCTTCTGTACACCTCTCTTCCTCTGATGTCTTCATTTGCAATAATTAGAAGGTAGTGCAGCAGGCAGGGCATGGTGGAGGTGTGTGTGGACATGAGGCCGGCATCAGGGTGAAACATGCTGTCCTCTTTCTCCCCTCTCTCTCTCTCTGAGGGTGTAACCTAACCGGAGGTAAGCATTTTCAAGCTGTGTAACAAACAGTCAGTTAGATCCGCTGTAGAGAGTGATGAACAGATATAACAGGCATAACCGTGCTGCTAATTAAAGGACTAGCCAGGTGTCTGAGTTAGTAGCTTGCGGGCCGCACACTGGAATATTTCAAATGCTTATTGAAAAACCTTAAATACCGGTCTTAGCCTGGTACAGAGTTTTACTCAAAGAATACAGACGGATAAGAAATACTTTATTTGAAAATGTGGTTTGTCAATCACAATCAACATAAGTTACAGGAATTCCAAATGCCTTTGGTTGATGTAGGCTAAGACTCAACCTTTTTAAATCGGGTTATCAGAATGAGTGACAATGGAACACTTGGCTTCCGAATCCCAGAGCATCTGGTGTCATCTCAAATGTCTAGTAACTAAAAGATATGGAGACGTTAATGTCAGGCCCAGGACCAGACCAGACTAGACTAGACAGGTCCTGGGTTTATAACGTATGTCTGTCTGTCTTTAAGTAAGTAATGTGATCATGGAGACTGGATGAAATGCTTCATTACATTGTCTGATACCAGCATAGCCTATACTGCTATTGGCATAATAAAGATGAGAGGTATCCTGAGACATGTCTGTCTATTGAACCTTTCTGAGAGTTGATTTCCTTGTGTTGTTGTTTTCCTAGATTGGAGAGACTGAGACTTGCACCACTGTGAGAAGAGAATAGAGAGCGGACACTCCTTGGTTGAGTAGAGACTACTAGCCCTTTGGGACGCACCCTAACAAGCATCAAATCTACACCCTAACTAGCCCCTATACCCTAAATGTCAATATCCATCTATCCATGTTGAACTCTTGCTATCCGCAATGCTAGACCACAACCAGTCCCAGTCCTAAACCCTAGTTGAGCCCTATCCTAACTCCCAACTAGCCTCTATGCTTATCAACCTGACTGTGTCCTTCAAGGAGTCCCGTGCCTTTCATGGAACGCCACCCGCCAGCCCTCGCGGTGTTGCGCCCCTCATCTTGGAAGTGACAGCCATGGACACCCTCCCTGTCCTTCCTGCCCCTGCTCCCCTACCCCTCACCCCTGCTCCTACTCCTCTGCCACCTCCCCCACCTCCTCCACCTCCCTTCACCTCCTCTCCTCTGACCCGTATGGACTCGGCCCGTCGCAGCCGGCTGAGGAAGCTGAACTGGGAGCAGATCCCTAAGGAGAAGGTGGAGGGGAGGAAAAGTGTCTGGAGTGGAGCGGCTACGGAGGAGGAAGAGTTCCCTATAGACCTCCACTCTCTGGATGAGCTGTTTAGACAGAAGGACTGTAAACCTCAGGACAGAGCCGGGAGTTTGAGACGGAGGTCTGTGCTGATGCGATGCAGTTCACCCCAGGACAACACCACGGATAAGGTGAGATAGCTGGGAGAGGATGATGGGGCTGGAGATGGGTGGGAGAGAGGATGAGAGGACTGGAGATGGGTGAGAGAGAGGATGAGAGTACTGGAGATGGGTGAGAGAGAGGATGAGAGGACTGGAGATGGGTGAGAGAGAGGATGAGAGGACTGGAGATGGGTGGGAGAGAGGATGAGAGGACTGGAGATGGGTGAGGAGGAGGGAGGTGGGTATGGAGAGGACTGGAATGGAGGGATGAGAGAGGACTGGAGATGGGTGGGAGAGGGGATGAGAGGACTGGAGATGGGTGAGAGAGAGGAGATGAGAGGACTGGAGATGGGTGGGAGAGAGAGACAGCACCACAGACAAGGTATGGGATAGGAGCGCAGTATGAGTTAGTGCCAGTCTGTGTGTGCATACTACAGTGGAATGTTGTTGCTGTGCCAAGACAACAGCATGCTGGCTAGTGGCAGACACTGACTAGGTGTAGTTTAAACTGACACTGACCGGCACCGAGGCTAGGTGTGGTTTAAACTGACACTGACCGGCACCGAGGCTAGGTGTGGTTTAAACTGACACTGACTGGCACCAAAGCTAGGTGTAGTTTAAACTGCCAGGTAGCATATATTGATAGAATGTGTTGTCTGTAAAGTTGAATGAGATACTGTAGAAAGATACTGCATATACCACACAGGAGGCTGGTGGCACCTTAATGGGGGAGGACGGGCTCGTGGTAATGGCTGGAGCGGAATCAGTGGAATGGTATCAAATACATTACATTGGCTCCGTTCCAGACATTATTATGAGCCGTCCTCCCCTCAGTAGCCTCCAGTGAGATACCGGTAGACTACTGACTATTATTCCACCTTGATGATAGTATCTGACATGTTCTCTGTGTGTGTGTGTTTGCAGGTCTCACTACTGGACTCCAAACGCAGTATGAATGTTGGAATATTTCTACGGCAGTTTAAGACGTAAGGATCTACTTCCCTTTCCTCATCACACTCTTTCATTTTCTTTTTTCGAAGAAGTATTTATCTGTAAGGTCCTAGAGAGCACATGCTGCTCTGGTATCAGAGGTCAAGCGCCATGAATCAGAAAAGCTATTAGAGTCTGTAGGGGGAAACACAAGGGGCTAGGATTGCACCCAGGGGAACAACCCTTCACACTGGAGATGGACTGGAGAGGATGGGCTTCTATCGAGGAGTGGGAAGTGTGGGGGGGGATCTTCTAAGTATGAGGGGAGAGGGGGTGTCAAGAAGGTGACAGGTGCAGATGAGATGGCATCCTGCCTTAGCAGCTGGACTGTGGGGGGGGCACAGGGTGAGGGTGGTAGGGGGGTAAGATGGTGAGCCAAGGGGTCAAAGTTGACACCTGCTCAGACCGTTAAGGAGTGCTGCCCTCCAGTAAAGACAGTCGGACATAGGCTGCATCCCAAATAGCACCCTGTTCCCTTTATAGTGCACTACATTTGACGATGGCCCTGTAGCGAATAGGGTGCCATTCATAGTCCTCCTCCTTTACTCTGTAGAGTCTTTGAGTCTGTAAACACAAGGTGAAAAGTATTTACATTACTTGTAAAACCAAAGGTTGTGCTTTTCTATAGCTTGATGTTTTCACTTTTCACTTTTATTTTATGTAGAGTTTAGATCGTAGGTTTAAAATCGGTGTACTGTTTGGAATGTCTCTTGGTTGATGCTGCAGATATGGTTGGTCTCTGTGGGTCAGATATGGTTGGTCTCTGTGGGTCAGATATGGTTTGTCTCTGTGGGTCAGATATGGTTGGTCTCTGTGTGTTGGTGTCTGTGGGTCAGATATGGTTGGTCTCTGTGGGTCAGATATGGTTTGTCTCTGTGTGTTGGTCTCTGTGGGTCAGATATGGTTGGTCTCTGTGGGTCAGATATGGTTGGTCTCTGTGGGTCAGATATGGTTGGTGTCTGTGGGTTGGTCTCTGTGGGTCAGATATAGTTGGTCTCTGTGTGTTGGTCTCTGTGGGTATTAGTATTGCACGGTACACCAAAACGTAGGTACTTTTTCGATACTAGAACATGAAAAACGCTTCAGTACTAGAATTTGTTACTCTCTGTACTTCTGTCAAATGTGTCGCACGTCGTCTACTGATTGAGAGAGGATCTAGTCTGTCTATCAGCGCAGCCGATGACACTTATAGCCTCCACTCACTCATTAGAGCACCGTGCCTGCTCCACACCCTCCACTCACTCATTACTAGCTCTAGCCTGCCATGAGGAACCACTGAACTCACTGGGAGTCTGGGCTGCATCATGTTAGCTCCCCACTCATGCTGCACAGAAGTTAACATGTAGAAAGAAATGTTTAAACTGCTAATTACTGTTCCCAAAACAATGTCCAGTACAGGCTAGAATACTACAGAAGATACCGGTAGCTTCCAGCTTTGTAGGCTAACTTTCCTTGCTAGCTTACAGACGAAGACAACATCAATTCACTACCCTAGTACCTTGTTTGTGATAATAAGCAAACCGTAACGCAGAATATTGCTGATTGTTACCAAAAACGTTATTAATTCACTTTGTTTCCCTCACCTCACGTCTCTCCCAGTCAAGATAATCTTTCCTCGAGCCTGGAACGGACTTTGTGTGTGAATGACGTCAAGGTCGTGAAGAGACAGCGTACACGTTTGTAAAAGAAGAGATTGTTGTTGATCAGTCCAATAAAATAAGTCCCAAATGGAAGGTAAACAGTGTTTCATCTGTAGCCTCATGAAATCAGCCAAAACAAGATCAATAACACAATGCTTGCACACACCCCTATTGAATATGTATTCATCTGTATTGTGAAAAGACCTTGGCTACATCTCGGTTTACCCAGTTTTATCAATAGAGATTTACCATTCAAATAAATGATTACCGTTTATGTGGTTAGATTGGTAATAAACTGTCACATTGATTTGTATAATTGATTCATTAATGCATACATTCAAACATTTCAAAAGTAATGATATTGAACTCTACAGATCTGTCCGGATCAAGTGTCATTCTGCGTCTTTGGCTAATACCACTTATTTCTTTACCGTGGTATAGTGATGGTATCGCGTATCGAAGTCAAAATTCTGGTTTTGTGACAACACTAGTGGGTATGATGGTAGCTACCAGACGATGCCCTCTTGCAGAGCAGGTATGTTGTCATGCCCGCGCGTTTACTGAACACAGAGTTCACGGAGATTCAATTGTTTGCGTCCTACTTGAAGAGAGCTTCTCTCTAAACAAAATATCTGTCAGAACATGTAGTTGAAAGCCTTTATATGAAGAGAGGTGAGCCTATGGACAAAAACATGTCTTCTTACATGGAGCTTGTTTGTCTTGTGTGAGTCACAAGGTACTTTTAGATTAGCGACATGGGTGGAAGTCGTTTGAACAGATTGGTCCCTTCGTGAGACACTACGGTATTAGAACATGTACTACCTCCCTCTACCTTTTCATTATGCTCAATTTCAGCTGTGGCGACTGTTATTGTAACCAGCATTCAGTTCTGCGTAGAAATAACAGGCCGGAGGTTATGAAGGTAGAGGCTAAAAACCTTTCATTCAACTCTTTTGAATCAGGATAATCCCAGTTGAGCCACGTGTATTTTCAATCCTTAACAAAGGTTAATGTTATCTGTGATTCAGACAGGCAGAGCCACGGTATTAGTGAACACAGGGCAGACAGGCAGAGCCACGGTATTAGAGTGAACACAGGGCAGACAGGCAGAGACATGGTATTAGAGTGAACACAGGGCAGACAGGCAGAGAGGAGGTATTAGAGTGAACACAGGGCAGACAGGCAGAGAGGAGGTATTAGAGTGAACACAGGGCAGACAGGCAGAGCCACGGTATTAGAGTGAACACAGGGCAGACAGGCAGAGAGGAGGTATTAGAGTGAACACAGGGCAGACAGGCAGAGCCACGGTATTAGAGTGAACACAGGGCAGACAGGCAGAGCCACGGTATTAGAGTGAACACAGGGCAGACAGGCAGAGCCACGGTATTGAGTGAACACAGGGCAGACAGGCAGAGCCATGGTATTAGAGTGAACACAGGGCAGACAGGCAGAGAGGAGGTATTAGAGTGAACACAGGGCAGACAGGCAGAGAGGAGGTATTAGAGTGAACACAGGGCAGACGGGCAGAGAGGAGGTATTAGAGTGAACACAGGGCAGACAGGCAGAGAGGAGGTATTAGAGTGAACACAGGGCAGACGGGCAGAGAGGAGGTATTAGAGTGAACACAGGGCAGACAGGCAGAGAGGAGGTATTGGAGTGAACACAGGGCAGACAGGCAGAGCCACGGTAGTAGAGTGAACACAGGGCAGACAGGCAGAGCCATGGTATTAGAGTGAACACAGGGCAGACAGGCAGAGCCACGGTATTAGAGTGAACACAGGGCAGACAGGCAGAGAGGAGGTATTAGAGTGAACACAGGGCAGACAGGCAGAGCCACGGTATTAGAGTGAACACAGGGCAGACAGGCAGAGCCACGGTATTAGAGTGAACACAGGGCAGACAGGCAGAGCCATGGTATTAGAGTGAACACAGGGCAGACAGGCAGAGCCACGGTAGTAGAGTGAACACAGGGCAGACGGCAGGCCACGGTATTAGAGTGAACACAGGGCAGACAGCAGAGAGGAGGTATTAGAGTGAACACAGGGCAGACAGGCAGAGCCACGTATTAGAGTGAACACAGGCAGACAGGCAGAGCCACGGTTAGAGTGAACACAGGGAAGACAGGCAGAGAGGAGGTATTAGAGTGAACACAGGGCAGACAGGCAGAGAGGAGGTATTAGAGTGAACACAGGGCAGACAGGCAGAGAGGAGGTATTAGAGTGAACACAGGGCAGACAGGCAGAGCCACGGTATTAGAGTGAACACAGGGCAGACAGGCAGAGAGGAGGTATTAGAGTGAACACAGGGCAGACAGGCAGAGAGGAGGTATTAGAGTGAACACAGGGCAGACAGGCAGAGCCACTGGTATTGGAGTGAACACAGGGCAGACAGGCAGAGAGGAGGTATTAGAGTGAACACAGGGCAGACAGGCAGAGCCACGGTATTAGAGTGAACACAGGGCAGACAGGCAGAGCCACGGTATTAGAGTGAACACAGGGCAGACAGGCAGAGCCATGGTATTAGAGTGAACACAGGGCAGACAGGCAGAGCCACGGTAGTAGAGTGAACACAGGGCAGACAGGCAGAGCCACGGTATTAGAGTGAACACAGGGCAGACAGGCAGAGCCACGGTATTAGAGTGAACACAGGGCAGACAGGCAGAGCCACGGTATTAGAGTGCAACACAGGGCAGACAGGCAGAGAGGAGGTATTAGAGTGAACCAGGGCAGACAGGCAGAGAGGAGTATTAGAGTGAACACAGGGCAGACAGGCAGAGCCACGGTATTAGAGTGAACACAGGGCAGACAGGCAGAGAGGAGGTATTAGAGTGAACACAGGGCAGACAGCAGAGAGGAGGTATTAGAGTGAACACAGGGCAGACAGCAGAGAGGAGGTATTAGAGGAACACAGGGCAGACAGGCAGAGCCACGGTATTGGAGTGAACACAGGGCAGACAGGCAGAGCCACGGTATTAGAGTGAACACAGGGCAGACAGGCAGAGCCACGGTATTAGAGTGAACACTGGGGCAGACAGGCAGAGAGGAGTATTAGAGTGAACACAGGGCAGAACAGGCAGAGCCACGGTATGGAGTGAACACAGGGCAGACAGGCAGAGAGGAGGTATTAGAGTGAACACAGGGCAGACAGGCAGAGCCACGGTATTAGAGTGAACACAGGGCAGACAGGCAGAGCCACGTATTAGAGTGAAACACAGGCAGACAGGCAGAGCCATGGTATTAGAGTGAACACAGGGCAGACGGCAGAGCCACGGTAGTAGAGTGAACACAGGGCCAGACAGGCAGAGCCACGGGTATTAGAGTGCACCACAGGGGCAGAACAGGCAGAGCCACGGTATTAGAGTGAACACAGGGCAGACAGGCAGAGCCACGGTATTGAGTGAACACAGGGCAGACCAAGGGTTAGTGAACAGGGCAGAATGAGGAGTATAGAGTGAACACAGGGCAGACAGGCAGAGAGGAGGTATTAGAGTGAACACAGGGCAGACAGGCAGAGAGGAGGTATTAGAGTGAACACAGGGCAGACAGGCAGAGAGGAGGTATTAGAGTGAACACAGGGCAGACAGGCAGAGAGGAGGTATTAGAGTGAACACAGGGCAGACAGGCAGAGAGGAGGTATTAGAGTGAACACAGGGCAGACAGGCAGAGCCACGGTATTGGAGTGAACACAGGGCAGACAGGCAGAGAGGAGGTATTAGAGTGAACACAGGGCAGACAGGCAGAGCCACGGTATTAGAGTGAACACAGGGCAGACAGGCAGAGAGGAGGTATTAGAGTGAACACAGGGCAGACAGGCAGAGAGGAGGACTGTAAGAGAAAGACAGAAAAGGGGGGGGGGTATAAGGGAGAGAGAGGAAGAGCCAGGGAAAGAGAGGGGGGGAAAGGAAGAAGTGAAGGAATGGGGTGAAGCTGTCTGATGTAGGTGGTGATGAAAGGAGAGACTCCTGGAGGAGTTGAGCTACATACTAGACTTGTGTCATTTGGAGGAAGTCGGGGTCAGGGAGAGGTCATACAGTCAGGGACTGGCCAGCTTCTGCTCTCGCTCTCTCTCTGTCTGGCGATAACTCAACCTCTAAGGACCGCTGTGTGTGGGTGTCTACTTATGTGTTTGCCCAAGTGTCTGTGTTGAGCGCCTGTGTGTGTTTCTATATCTGTGTGTGTGTTTGCTCAGGGCACATGTCATTCAGCGTGTCGCCAATGTGGCGTCAAAGGCCTTTTTTCCCAACAATCAGTCAGATAAGAGGGGATAAGCTTGACTGCGTGTGCGTGTGTGTGTGTGCGTGCACCAAGCAGAGCAATCAGAGAATATCAAACCCCCTCCACCATTCCAGACCCCTGGATGAAACCCCCTCCACCATTCCAGACCCCTGCATGATACCCCCTCCAGCATTCCAGACCCCTGTATGAAACCCCCTCCACCATTCCAGACCCCTGCATGAAACCCCCTATTTTCTTCATTTCCTAAATGATGAGTGTTAATTTGAATCACCTCAGTATAACAGTGACTTACATCCTCCGGGGTTGGCTTAAACCCCATTTCTCTAAACCCCACAGACAGTGCAGCTGCGTGTGTGTTTGTGTGTAAGGTGATGTCACCATAGAGCTGATGTGTGTTGTCATGTTTCCACAGGGCTGCCCAGGAGATAGTTGAGGATATCCGGCAGGGGGTCGGGACCCGCTATGGGGCAGAGAAACTGGCCGAGCTCTGCAAACTGCTGCCTGACACCGACGAGGTAAAGACTCTGCTCCGTGTCCTCTCTGACACACCGTAGATCCTACTGCAACAGCACTGACTAGCCTGTAGCCCCCACCCCTCTCTTCATCTGGTTCTGATGATCCTAATCAACAGTTTGCCATTACACCATCGTCTCAGAATTGTGAAGGGCTTACTGACAATACATGTGGTAAAATATGTTCCCAATGACTGCACGTGTTGTTGTATATGGACATGGTTATAAGAATATAAAGTAATAATAATGACTCATCCTGGGTGATGGTGGTTCTACCGCTGGACTCATCCTGGGTGATGGTGGTTATCTACCGCTGGAACTCATCCTGTTGATGGTGGTTCTTAACGCTGGACTCATCCTGGGTGGATGGTGGTTCTACCGCTGGACTCATCCTGGGGATGGTGGGTTCTACCACTGGAAATCCATCCTGGGTGATGGTGGTGCTAACCGCTGGACTCATTCCTGGGTTGATGGTGGTTCTAACCGCTGGAACTCCCTCCTGGGTGATTGTGGTTCTACCGCTGGACTCATCCTGGGTGAGGGTGGTTCTACCAACTGGAACTCATCCTGGGTGGATGGTGGTTCTACCACTGGACTTATCCCTGGGTGATGGTGGTTCTACCGGCTGTACTCACCCTTGGGTGATGGTGGTTCCTACCGCTGGACTCACTCCTGGGTGATGGTGGTTCCTACCGCTTGGACTCATCCTGGTTGATGGTGGTTCTACCGCTGGACTCATCCTGGGTGATGGTGGTTCTACCACTGGACTCATCCTGGGTGATGGTGGTTCTACCACTGGACTTATCCTGGGTGATGGTGGTTCTACACTGGACTATCTGGGGATGGTGGTTCTACCGCTGGACTCATCCTGGGTGATGGTGGTTCTACCACTGGACTCATCCTGGGTGATGTGGTTCTACCACTGGACTCATCCTGGGTGATGGTGGTTCTACCACTGGACTCATCCTGGGTGATGGTGGTTCTACCGCTGGACTCATCCTGGGTGATGGTGGTTCTACCGCTGGACTCATCCTGGGTGATGGTGGTTCTACCGCTGGACTCATCCTGGGTGATGGTGGTTCTACCACTGGACTCATCCTGGGTGATGGTGGTTCTACCACTGGACTCATCCTGGGTGATGGTGGTTCTACCGCTGGACTCATCCTGGGTGATGGTGGTTCTACCACTGGACTCATCCTGGGTGATGGTGGTTCTACCACTGGACTCATCCTGGGTGATGGTGGTTCTACCGCTGGACTCATCCTGGGTGATGGTGGTTTTACCACTGGACTCAAGCAAAGTTTTAAATTCTACAAATTATTTCTGGAGATGCTAGTAAATGAAACCTAGGTGGAATTCCCAGTAAAATGAATGAGGCTTGTAGAATGTAGCAGGAAAGCTGACTGATAATATCTCTAAGTTGTCTGTCTGGGTATTTTCACAGGAGGCTCGTCTGAAGAGGTTCAAGGGAGAGCGCAGTAGGCTTGGGGAGCCTGACCTCTTCATGATTCTGCTAGTGGAAGTCCCCAGGTATACCACACAACCTAGCACTTCACTGTTTTAAACTATTACAAACCCTAACCTTGAAGTTCAAACTGTGTTGCAAAATATGCCAATTTATCTGCTGTTCTCATTTTGCAGTGACTCCCACTCTCCACACACTAATGGCTGACTCACTAACTTTCCACTCTGTGCTGATGTGTGTCTCTCTGATGATCGATATGGCTCTAACCACTTCCATCCTCTCCTCTCCTCCCCCCCCCTCTCCCTCCTCTACCCCCCCTCCCCTCCCCCTCCTCTCCTCTCCCCCTCCTTTCCTCCCCCTCTCCTCTCCCCCCTCCTCTCCTCCCCCTCTCCTCTCCTCTCTCATCTCCCTCCTCCCCCTCTCCTCTCCTCTCTCATCTCCCTCCTCCCCCTCTCCTCTCCTCTCTCATCTCCCTCCTCCCCCTCTCCTCTCCTCTCATCTCCCTCCTCCCTCTCTCATCTCCCTCCTCCCCCTCCTCTCTCCTCTCCTCCCCCTCCTCCCCTTTTCTCCCCTGTTAGCTTTCGTCTGCGTCTGGACGCCATGATCCTGCAGGAGGAGTTTGACCCCGCTGTGACCTCTCTCTGTCTGGCGGCCAGATGTCTGAGGGAGGCGGCCAGAGGTAAACCATCAGCAGGGGCTTTTAGTTAAGGGATACGTCCCAAATGGCACCCTATTCCCTATATAGTGTACTACTTTTGACCAGGTTCCATAGGGCTCCGGTTCAAAGGTTGTGTACTATGTAGGGAATAGGGTGCCATTTGGGATTAACCCTAGGCCTACTCTACTCCCTATCACCGTTCACTTCCCCTTGTAGTGCTCTTGTCTTGTTTGAGTTTAGTATGAAATGGTGGAAGTTATTATTTAGTTGTTTTTAGTTTTACTCTACACTACTACTCATCACCATCCGTTTAACCCCCTTTGTGGCCCATCCACTTCCTCTTTTCGATAATACCAATGCATCCCAAATGGCACCCTATTCCCTACATAGGGCACTACTTTTGTCCAGATCCCCATGGGCCCTGTTAAAAAGTAGTGCACTATAAAGAGAATACGGTGCCATTTCGGACGCAAACATGGCCTACTGCTCTTCATCAGCGCCCCCACCCCTTTAATCACCAGCAGGGGGTTTTAGTTTCCCCTTTAATCCCCAGCAGGGGGTTTTAGTTTCCCCTTTAATCACCAGCAGGGGGTTTTAGTTTCCCCTTTAATCACCAGCAGGGGTTTTTAGTTTCCCCTTTAATCACCAGCAGGGGTTTTTAGTTTCCCCTTTAATCACCAGCAGGGGTTTTTAGTTTCCCCTTTAATCACCAGCAGGGTTTTTAGTTTCCCCTTTAATCACCAGCAGGGTTTTTAGTTTCCCCTTTAATCACCAGCAGGGTTTTTTAGTTTCCCCTTTAATCACCAGCAGGGGTTTTTAGTTTCCCCTTTAATCACCAGCAGGGTTTTTAGTTTCTCTTCTAAGTGTTCAGTCTTGTTTGAGTTTAGTCTGGGATGGTGACCTGAAGTTGGTTCAGAATTAGTGACGTGATGTACTGTAGGCTACAGATGGGCCACGTGGGTTTTTGTCTAAAGAAGATATGAGATCGTTTTATTCACCAGTTTTATATCCGTCTGTCCGTCCGTTTGTCTGTCCCGCTGTCCCTCTGTCTCTGTCTCAGAGCTGTTGAGCTGTCCTGAGCTGCACTCCATCCTCCGTCTGGTTCTGAAGGCAGGAAACTACATGAACGCTGTGAGTCATGTCTTCTTTCTCTTCCTCCTTCCTTTCTATCTTTCAGATGAAATAGAGAGACGTCCTTTATTTGTGTGCACAATGCTGCTGGTGTAGGACTGGGGTCTGGGACGGGGGTCTGGGACTGGGGTCTGGGTCTGGGAAGGGGGTCTGGGAAGGGGGTCTGGGACGGGGGTCTGGGTCTGGGACGGGGGTCTGGGTCTGGGACGGGGGTCTGGGACGGGGATCTGGGACTGGGGTCTGGGACTGGGGTCTGGGACGGGGGTCTGGGACGGGGGTCTGGGACTGGGGTGTGGGACTGGGGTCTGGGACTGGGGTGTGGGACTGGGGTCTGGGACTGGGGTCTGGGACGGGGGTCTGGGACTGGGGTCTGGGACGGGGGTCTGGGACGGGGGTCTGGGACGGGGGTCTGGGACGGGGGTCTGGGACGGGGGTCTGGGACTGGGGTCTGGGGTCTGGGACGGGGGTCTGGGACTGGGGTCTGGGACGTGGGACTGGGGTCTGGGACTGGGGTGTGGGACTGGGGTGTGGGACTGGGGTCTGGGTCTGGGGTCTGGGACTGGGGTCTGGGACTGGGGTCTGGGACTGGGGACTGGGGTCTGGGACTGGGGTCTGGGACGGGGGTCTGGGACTGGGGTGTGGGACTGGGGTGTGGGACTGGGGTCTGGGACTGGGGTCTGGAGCGTCACTCTGGCTGCACCTGGGTTTTGTAATGTTGTGTTTGTTTAAGATGTCGGGGGTGTGTGTGTGTGTGTGTGTGTGTGTGTGTGTGTGTGTGTGTGTGACCTCTTTTCACTGACCTACTGTATTTGACCTCAGGGTGGGTACGCAGGCAACGCAGCAGGGTTCCGAATCGCTTCTCTGCTCAAGCTGGCCGACACCAAAGCCAACAAGCCAGGCATGAACCTCCTGCACTTCGTGGCCATGGTAAGACCTGATCTAGGATCAGGTACCTTTTTGTGCATATAGCTGTATTCATTATCATCAAAAATGCAAAACTGATCCTACTGTAGATCAGCACTCCTACCCTGATGTAGTCAAATATACACCTTCCTAATATTGAGTTGCATCCCCTTTTGCCCTCAGAACAGCCTCAATTCGTCAGGGAATCGACTCTGTACAAGGTGTCGAAAGCATTCCACAGGGATGCTGGCCCATGTTGACTCTAATGCTTCCCACAGTTGTGTCCAGTTGGCTGGATGTCCTTTGGGTGGTGGACTATTCTTGATACACACAGGAAACTGTTGTGCGTGAAAAACCCAGAAGCATTGCAGTTCTTGACACACTCAAAACGGTGCGCCTGGCACCTACTGCCATACCCCGTTCAAAGGCACTTCAATCTTCACCCTCTGAATGGCACACATACACAATCAAAGTTTGTCTCAAGGCTTAAAAATCCTTCTTTAACCTGTCTCCTCCCCTTCATCTACACTGATTGAAGTGGATTTAACAGGTGACATCATAAGGGATCGTAGGTTTCACCTGGATTCACCTGGTCAGTCTGTCATGGAAAGAGCAGGTGTTCGTAATGTTTTGTACACTATGTAAATCACATTTGCAGTGAAGAGGAGACCCTTGAAGTGCTTGACTTTAATTGATCTTTCAGTGAAGACTTAAGCTATAGCAGTAATATGCCACACATCTCAAGAAACTCTCTCTAGATGCAGTTCAAAGACGACAGAATTAATCCCAGACTACTCTTTATTGAAGACTAACAACCATCTGACAGACTGCACATTTAGTTTCCTTTGAAAAACTTGACACTTATTTAGCAGAATTGTTCAATTGGCATAGATGAAATGGGTCTTCAGAATGTCTTTCAAACTATGTGTTGGGTATTTGTTGTATTTGACCAACCATTAATTATTACTTTCACAATAACCATATCAACACACTGAATCGTGACACAATGCAATGATTCAGACAGAATTATGACGGCTCACTGTGTGAAACAATAGCTGGATCAGCGCCGTCTCTGTCTCCACAGGAAGCGGTGAAAAAGGACCAGAGTTTACTGTCGTTTCCCAGCCAACTAGGACATGTCGGCCCCACATCCAGGTCAGTAAGAGCCAATAATACAGACCCCCCCCAGTTTAGAAATGCCCCCCTTCCTCATAGGGAATGGGCCACGTTCAGTTGCCAAACATTGTCGAACGTTGCAGATAGAATTGCCATGAATAGAGCCAACATGATTCCTTGGTCTACGTGTCAGAGAGGCATGTTTCTATCCCAACGTTCCAAAACGTTGTCCTGCTGAATGAGCCCCTGTTCTAATAGTTTGAAAATGTACCTTGGGGCGAGCCCAGATCTTTGCGTGATCTGCGCGTAAAGCAAGGTTTCCACTTCATTGCTTTTAACCAGTCCAGCAGATCTGTAATTAATTAAACAGAGGAAAGAAGGAAGGAAGCAATCTGAAGTGTTTGAACGTGGCCCGTGGTGTTTTGTATGCTTCGGGGGAGCATATGAGATCCGCCCTATAACATCAATACGCTCCAGCAGGCTGCTAACACACACAGACACTACGGCTGCTTTAAGACTAGTTTCAACAGGACTGTATTGTGTTACAGTACTGGAGCTCTGTCCAGCTGTTAGTGATATAACTATCACCTTTTTAATATGGCTCATGACAACATTTCTGTTTCAATCCAATATCACGGCTCTGTTGGGGTTGTTGGGATTGGTTAGCTATGTAGGACACTTAGATTGAGTCCCAAATGGCACCCAATACTTTTTGTCGATGCACTATATAGGGAATAGGGTGCCATTTGGGACTACACCCTTTACTGTCAGTTACTCTGTGGGTATCGGTGTTACTGTCCGTCAGTCAGGACCTAGTAATGAGCGACAGCCTACTCCTGCTGGGGTAGAGCCAAAGGGGAAATCTTGGACGTATTAAGATGTCTGTCAGAGGAAAATAACAGCTTTATCTAGGTCACAGCTTGGGAACCACCGCTTTGACTTATAATCTTAGTAACAGCATCTTCTGAAACAAAGACTCCTTGTATGTTTTACTTTGCAGCATAGTCTCTCATGGTTAAAAACACATGGTTTTATCCAGAGCTGTACATTTACACAGTTTGGCCAACTTTTAGAACAGATGCCGTCTAGTTGTTGGGTCACAGAATCTCACTGTAATCACTTTACTATCATCTATAAAGGTGGACTCTGCGAAATGACGTTGCCACGAGCAGCACCGGAGAAATTGAGATGAGCAAGATGCAACACTTTGCTCACACACAGTATCTGCGCAAGTGCACGGGTTCGCTTCAGCCTGTTCACAGTGTGATAGCCAGGGAGAAGTTGAGCCTCGTGCTTTAACGCTCTTAGTTGTTACGGAAATTGACCCCCTATGCTGTTTACTTTCTGCAGCCACCTCATATCGCTGAGTCTACCTTTTTAATGTCATGTAAAGTAATGCATCTCTCGTCTCTGTCTTCCTATAGGTTGTGTGAGGAGTCCGTAGTAGAGGATCTCTCCAGGCTCCACAGCCGTGTGGCATCCCTCAGGATCAGTGTCCAGACGGAGGCAGACCTCCAGCAGCTCACACAGCCTTTCCTGGAGGTACGGAACTGAACTAGATTCTAGAACATGGATTTAGAACATTTTTACATTTACATTTTAGCCATTTAGTAGACGCTCTTATATATAAAAAAATATATATATATATATATTATTAATTTTTTCATACTGGCCCCCCGTGGGAATCGAACCCACAACCCTGGCATTGCAAGCGCCATGCTCGACCATCTGAGCTACACGGAAACTGAGCTAGAACATGCTAAATTCTTAAACACTGATCTATGGTATCTAGTGAAGTGAGAATTTATGAACTCACAAAGAACAAAACTGAAACTCACACGGCTTTGGTTAACTCTGAGTCTCTTCCCTCCATATTCGTCCTCCTGAGTCAAAATGCACAACAGTGAGTCTAATCTTGCTCTCGCTCTCTCCATCTCTAGGTGGCAGAGGAGCGTCTGAAGGAGGCGGAGGATGAGGTGGAGGGGATGAGGATGTCCAGTCAGGCTCTGGTCGAATTCTTCTGTGAGGATGACAGCACCTTTAAACTGGAGGAGGCCTGCAGGGTCTTCCACTCCTTCTGCCTTCGCTTCCAAAGAGCTGTACAGGTGAGACCAACTGCTTTACATCAAGCTGTACAGGTGAGACCAACTGCTTTACATCAAGCTGTCTGCATGGGTTCACCCTACATGACCAAAGTCCACATTTTGTCCATATTGAAAAAATGTATGAAAACTAAAATGAGTTTTTTGGTCCTAATTCAAGGTTGGGTTTAGGCTTGGGTTTAGGGTTGGGTTTAGGGTTGGGCTTGGGTTTAGGGTTGGGTTTAGGGTTGGGCTTAAAATCTGATTTTAAGAAGAGAAATTGTAGAACTAGGTTGGGCTCCATCTAGACACCGTTGCCCTAGAGCACACAAAAAAACTATACATACAGTTGAAGTCGGAATTTTGCATACACCTTAAACTCAGTTTTTCACAATTCCTGACATTTAATCCTAGTAAAAATTCCCTGTTTTAGGTCAGTTAGGATCACCACTTTATTTTAAGAATGTGAAATGTCAGAATAATAGTAGAGAGAATTATTTATTTCAGCTTTTATTTCTTTCATCACATTCCCAGTGGGTCAGAAGTTTACATACACTCAACTAGTATTTGGTAGCATTGCCTTTAAATTGTTTAACTTGGGTCAAACGTTTCGGGTAGCCTTCCACAAGCTTCCCACAATAGGTTGGGTGAATTTTGGCCCCTTCCTCCTGACAGAGCTGGTGTAACTGAGTCAGGTTTGTAGGCCTCCTTGCTTGCACACGCTTTTTCTGCTCACAAATGTTCTATAGGATTGAGGTCAGGGCTTTGTGATGGCCACTCCAATACCTTGACTTTGTTGGAAGTATGCTTGGGGTCATTGTCCATTTGGAAGACCCATTTGCGACCAAGCTTTAACTTCCTGACTGATGTCCTGAGATGTTGCTTCAATATATCTACATCATTTTCCTTCCTCATGATGCCATCTATTTTGTGAAGTGCACCAGTCCCTCCTGCAGCAAAGCACCCCCACAGCATGATGCTGCCACCCCGTGCTTCACAGTTGGGATGGTGTTCTTCGGCTTGCAAGCAACCCCCTTTTTCCTCCAAACATAACGATGGTCATTATCGCCAAAGTTCTATTTTTGTTTAATCAGACCAGAGGACATTTCTCCAAAAAGTATGATCTCCAATTGACTCAAATGATGTCAATTAGCCTATCAGAAGCTTCTAAAGCCATGACATCATTTTCTGGAATTTTCCATGCTGTTTAAAGGCCCAGCCAATTTAGTGTATGTAAACTTCTGACCCACTGGAATTGTGATACAGTGAATTATAAGTAATCTGTCTGTAAACAATTGTTGGAACAATTACTTTGCACAATGCACAAAGTAGATGTCCTAACTGACTTGCCAAAACTATAGTTTGTTAAAAAGAAATTTGTGGAGTGGTTGAAAAACAAGTTTTAATGACTCCAACCTAAGTGTGTGTAAACTTCCGACTTCACGTGTGTGTGTGTGTGTGTGTGTGTGTGTGTGTGTGTGTGTGTGTAAGGAGTTATAGACAGATGAGGAAAAAAAGATTATATGATAGATACGTAGATAGATATGATAGATACGTAGATAGATATGATAGATACGTAGATAGATATGATAGATACGTAGATAGATATGATAGATACGTAGATAGATATGATAGATACGTAGATAGATATGATAGATATGTAGATAGATATGATAGATACGTAGATAGATATGATAGATACGTAGATAGATACGTAGATAGATATGATAGATACGTAGATAGATAGATAGATATGATAGATATGATAGATTATATGATAGATACGTAGATAGATATGATAGATACGTAGATAGATATGATAGATTATATGATAGATACGTAGATAGATACGTAGATAGATGCGTAGATGCTTTGCTGATAAATGTATGCTTTATGTTTCTTATTTTACCTGAAACTCCTTTAACTCATCCTGTTCCCTCTCAGGAAAACGCAGAGCGGAAACAGAAGGAGCAGAAGCGGATGGAGCGAGAGCGAGAGATGGTGGAGAAGCGTCGCTCTGTGGCCGTGTGTACAGGGCTGGACCTGGGTGTGGTTCTGGGTCAGGTGTCTCCACCGGGCACCCAGGAGAACCAGGATGACCTGGAAAGAACCCTTGAGAACCTGAGCCACACTTGGAGCCAGCGCAGCCTTAGAACCCAGGAGAACCGTAGGCTCTCCAACCACCTCCAGAACTACAACTCTCATCTCCTCCAAAACAACTCCTCATCCTCCCCTCCTCCTCAAACCTCCTCCACCCGCTTCCAGAACTACACTTCCCACCTAATCCAGGACACCACCTCCGCTCCTCTTCAGACATCCCCTGATTTGGGTAGAATCGCATCACCCCATCTCCACCTCAACAACTCCTCCAACCTCCGCAGTACCTCCATCCACCCCCAGACCTCCCCAGGGCTACCCTGCCCCACCTACCCCAGCCAGGAGAGACCGTCCCTGGGGACAGAGACCAGGACAGAGCCCCTGGTCCATCAGCACCAACCAGTCCTGGAGACAAAGAGACCACATCATGAGGGGACAACTCAGACTCAAGTCTCACAACCTCAACATGAACTGACTTCTAATGTCACTCAAACCCAGTGTGGACTTAGATTCAATGTCCCCCAAAACAGGCAGGACACTATTGCCTATGCCACACAAACCCAACATGGAATTGCTACTAACTTCAATGAAAGCCGACTCACACCAATGGCTCGAGTGACTAAAACTCACCATGAACGGACAGTTGATGCCAGCCTGGACCAGCGTGTACTGACCACTAAGTCTATGGCCAGTCCTCATAGACACTCCTCCACTACCACTACTGCCATTCCCAGTGTGAGAAGAAATACCATTGGTCTTAGACACAGGTACGGCCTAGTGGGGACTGAGCCTACCCCCGTTTCTCAGGCGAATGCCACAGACTCCTCAGTCAGAGACGCAGCGCATCAAGACCCTGACCTCGCTCCTCTCACAGGGTCAACGGTCACTGAGGTGACTCAGCAGCCCTTTGAGAGCCAATCAGAATCATCCATGGCCACTGACCCCCCAGACGGTGTCCAATCGCAGGAGGCTAAGGGAGCCAAGGAGACCACACAAGGAAGTGGTTTGGAGCTGAGGCCTGAGGGGGGAACAACCCAGCAGAGGGAAACAGAATCTCCCTCTACACCAGTGGAACAGAGCTGGCTGCCTCCCAGCCTACCAGAGCTGAGCCCACAGCGGGCACATCAATGCCCAGAGGTCTCCAGTCCCTGACAGGGGAGAGGGATCGGTCGTACCCACGTGTGGGCGAAACCCTGGAGTACCACACCCTGGTCCGAGGCCTGCGTTCTTACGACACCATATCCCCTCCTCCCACTCCCACCTCAACCACACCCCTCCCTAGAGCCCCACCCAGCCTCTGTTCCAAGTGGAGGAAAGAGAGGCAGGCAGAGACTCCAGGGGCTGGTGCCGGGCTTCCAATGGGGAAAGAGGACTCTCGGAGCGGGGGGAACACTCCTGTTGTCCGAGGAGGGGCTAAGAGGGGCTTGGTACCTCGTGCAGGTCAACCGAACAATACAGGCATCCATAGGGTGCGTTTTATTTCCAAACCAGAGACACCCACTGGCCCCGTCCCAAATCCTAATTTACAGACTACACCACGTTCCACTTGTCTGGCGTCCCCATCCATACGCAGCGCCTCCATACGCTCCTCCCCCATCACACGTCCTACTACTACCCAGACAGAGGTGAAGCGGAGCAGTAGCTCCAGGAGTGAGAGGATCCAGGCTGGGGGTGAGAACCAGCAGCAGGCCCCAGGGAAACCCACCTTGACCCGCCAGGCATCAGAGAGAGCTGGGCTGGGGCTTGGACCAGAGAGGGAAAGGACTTCTAGCACCAGCACCACTAGTAGTACAGCTAGCAGCCAGCCAGCCTTTGTCAGAGGCTCCCCTCTCAGGGTGACCAAACGTCTCGCCCCCACCGCCAACTCTGAGACCCAACACCCCTCTCAACCCCGCTCCCCACACAGCTCCTCCTCTGCTACGGCTAAAGCCATCCGTACAGCTGTTATAGCTGCGGCCAGGACTAAAACAACCAAGACGAGCCCCGGCACAGAGCCCTCTAGAGCTGCTGTCTCTGCCTGCAAAACCCCCACAGCAACACGGATACCTGGACCTAAAATGGCCCGTCCTGCCTCCTCGCCCATGTGGAAGTGATCATGGCAGATAATACCACTTTTTCAACTTTATACAGCAGTCTTACGTCCACACATACACATGCCTATGTGTGTTTTGGGTCCACTGTACATGTATGCGGGTATCAATAGATGACTTGGTGAATTGTAACAGACCTCTCTGTTCTGGAGGGGTAGGCAGTTACTGGTCCATTCAGACTATTCACGATTGTCCAGAATCGATGGGGTGTTTTCACTTAGGTTTGGCCCATTTTAAAGCGCAATTAAGGACGTACCTGTCATACACTCTCTCCTCTGCTGCGAAGATGACACAGAACTCGAACAAAATGGCTGCCACGACATCACTCTACATCTATTCTGTTTGCATATGGACAGTAGCTGTACTGTCACTGTAGATAGAAATATATTCTGTTCTACACACTTCCTCCATCCACTAGTGTCCTGTGCAGGCAACAGGGCACTTCAAGGAGAGACTACCCCCCCCTCACACCTACCTGGACTTTGTCAAGCTCCTGAAATGTGTGCCTCTGACCTTGATCATTTGTAGTTCAAGAAAGTCCTTAATTTAGAATAATTTGCCACAGCGGCCTCCTCTGTGCCTTGGTCTTCCAAAAGATCACTCTCATCAACTTGGTTTTTTAGGGTGTATGTTGAAAATGGCGTGTTTGTCTTCAAGGGGTTCATTTATTTAACTTTGGTTGCGTCCCAAAGGGCACCTTATTCTCTATACATCGAGTATACCAAATATCCTAACATTAAGTTGCACCCCCCCTTTTACCCTCAGAACAGCCTCAATTCGTCGGGGCATGGACTCTACAAGATGTCAAAAGCGTTCCACAGGGATGCTGGCCCATGTTGACTCCAATGCTTCCCACAGTTGTGTGAAGTTGGCTGGATGTCCTTTGGGTGGTGGACCATTCTTGATACACACGGGAAACTGTTGAGCGTGGAAGAAACCCAGCAGCGTTGCAGTGCTTGACAAAAAAAATGGCGCACCTACTGCCATACCCCATTCAAAGGCACTTAGATTTTGTGTCTTGCCCATTCACCCTCTGAACGGTACACATTCCATGTCTCAATTGTCTTAAGGCTTAAAGCTCCTTCTTTAACCTGTCTCCTTTCCTTCATCTACACTGATTTGAAGTGGATTTAACAGGTGACATCAATAAGGGATCATAGCTTTCACCTGGATTCACTTGGTCAGTCTGTCGTGGAAATGTTTGTTTTGTGTACTCAGCGTATAGTGCACTACTTTTGACCAGGGCCCATAGGTATATGATCAAAAGTAGTGCACCATGTAGGGAATAGGATGCCATTTGGGACTCAACCACCATACCTGATCAGTCCATCTCCTATGTGCGATGTAATTTCTGAGTCCTCAAGGTATTTCTAAACCTCTTGTTGTGCTGTTTGATTAGATGCATGGACCAGATTGATTAGTGTGAATCGTCTTCCTCTTCCGTTGCTTTCTCACCTTGGGCTATTTGTTTGCCCAATCAGCAATCAATCGGTATGGTATCCAATTGATTATTGGTAATTGATCGATTTGTTGGTTGTCCTCATCTTGAATGTGCTCTTCATTCTGATGTACTTTACAAAGTGAAGAGGAGACATGTTGCTAGGATACTCACTGTAATATTCTACTACTGATGTTTATATCAGAAAAGAGATCTTAACTTAAATTGAACGACATGAATTGTTATCCATGGCGACAATGTGTGCGTTTGTAAATAAAATATCAAATAAAGATGCTAATCAGACTCCTGGTTTGTTGTTTGTTTCACCCTAACTAAAGACAATAAGGAACTGTAAGGCAGGTTTTCTTTAATGCACAGCTGTTCTTATGTCTTTTCTTGCGGTTACTGGCTGCCTACACAATCAGTTTTCCCCAGGCATCTCGATGGTCACAGAATGGTTGCTAACATCCCAAATGGCACCCTATTCCCTATATAGTGCACTACTTTTGATCATATACCTATGGGCCCTGGTCAAAAGTAGTGCACTATATAGTGAATAGGCTGCCATTGGTCACATTATTTTAGACTAGAGAGCAGTTTTAATAAATAACCAAGCTGTTGGCTCATTATCAACATCATTTCTCCCTCTCTCTCTCTCTCCACTGCTTCACTCCATTTCCCTATTTTCTATCCCCCCTCTCCTCTCTCACCTTCTCCATGTCTTGACACAATCATCCTCCCCCTTGGGCCTGTAATTGTTGCTATGGTGACACTGCAAGCATCCTAGGGAATTTCCTTGGAGAATAGGGGTGAGAAGGGTGTGTGGGTGCAGGAGTTCAGTGGGAGAGCTCTGTTTACAGGCCACAGTGACGCGACTGACACCAGAACCCCCTGGAGGGCAGAGCAATAAACTGGTGCCTCTTTGTGTTCCCTGGTTTTCCGGTGGTTGGTCAGCACTGACCTCTTCACCACTCTCTGCATCCCAAATTACACCCTATTTCCTTTAAAGTGTACTACTATTGACCAGGGTAGTGTGCTATATTGGTGAAAGGGTGCCATTTGGGATGCATCCAATGCTTTACCTGGATCAGTGTATAGATTGGAGATGTGATGTCATCAATGAGTCTGCCAGCAGGGGCAGACTGGCCATCTGGCATTTCGGGGAAATGCCGGATGGACTGGTCCATTTTTAGCCCAGTGGGCCTGTCTAACTTGTTTTTTTTTGCACAGAAAATGAGCCGGTGTGGGGGCCTCAAGGAAAGAAATGGACCGGTGTGTTAGAGGAGGTCTGACTGAAATAGTGCAAAGTATTCTGAAGTGGCTTCCCTTCCTATTCTGCTTGTGACGAAGAGTTACTCACTCACAACCGCTCTGTCACTGTCTACAAACATTCATGGATTACAAAGTTTATGAACTGAACTGGACAATGTACCCTACCCTTAAGTTAAACGTGACCAGTGAAGGCATGTTAGTCAGTGTCTGTTCTCTCCAGAAGAAAGTGGACAAAGCAGCTGAGACATGGTCATTAGTAGCATCTGTGCTGTTTGGAATGGTGTCAGAAGAAAACTGATTGTTTTAGCGCTTGGTCAAGGGGTCAAATTGTTTGAAAATGGTTAGGCCAACCAAATTTATTATTTCATTTATCCTTTATTTAAACAGAGAAATCACATTGAGATGTACATCTCTTTTCAAGAGAGCAGCATACACATACACTGTATTAAAATATAAACAACATACAACAATTTCATAGATTTTACGAAGTTACAGTTCATATAAGGAAATCAGTCAATTGAAATAAATTCATTAGGCCCTAATCTATGAATTTCACATGACTGGTAATACAGATATGCATCTGTTGGTCACAGATACCTTTTAAAAAAGGTAAGGGCGTGGATCAGAAAACCAGTCAGTGTCTGGTGTGACCACCATTAGCCTCATGCAGCGCGACAGATCTCCTTCGCATAGAGTCGATCAGGCTGTTGATTGTGGCCTGTAGAATGCTCAATGGGTGACATGAAGAACTGGGACATTTTCAGCTTCCAGGAATTGTGTACATGGGGCCGTGCATTATCATGTTGAAACATGAGGTGATGGCTGCGGATGAATGGCACGACAATGGGCCTCAGGATCACCTCACCGTGTCTCTGTGCATTCAAATTGCCATCGATAAAATGCAATTGTGTTCGTTGTCCATGTAGTTTATGCCTGCCCATACCATAACCCCACAGCCACCATGGGGCACTCTGTTAACAACGCCATACACGCTGCCATCTGCCTGGTACAGTTGAAACCGGGATTCATCCGTGCCAGTGGCCATCGAAGGTGAGCATTTGCCCATTGAAGTGGAGTCGGGTGTGTATGGAACATTTCTTGGATATTTTATTCATGGAACATGGGACCAACACTTTACATGTTGCGTTTATATATATTTTTCAGTGTAGTTACACAATACACATAAAACATAACAATGAATGGAAGTTAAAACAGTGCAAAGTGCATAAGAGAGAGAGAGATTAATAGAGCAGGTTTAAAAACAAGTGCAGCCAGTCAGTTGGCAGCAGCCCTCCAATCCTGGAATTTAAACTGATCAATCAGAATACAATTATCTAATTTTGTGATGAGCCATTATATAGCCTAATGACTTGTGTTGCCTGTAGGCTTACATTTTGCCATGGTCTGACTACTGTTGTTTTAGTCTTTGTTTATTTGAGAACTATGTACACCGGTATTATAAAACAATCAAATATATACCACAATTTGAATGTGCATGTTTAATGTAATGCGCAAGGTCCTTTTCTGGGGGATATGATTATTTTAAAAAGCGTTATGGTTTATAGTGCCATCTAGCGTCCGAATGATCTCTTATCAGCTTGAAGTAAGATGAGAAGAAAAACTACAACTACCATGATGACGTAATACGTGGTGGGCGTTTAAGAAAGTTCCCCGTATGCTGTTGTGATTGACTGTACACGGCTAAAAAGTTGAGCTCTAGTCGAGAGGTGGTAAGATAAACAACACTTTTTTGAATATAGATAATTATTGCAAACTATTGTTATACCTATATGTATACTAACACTGCTAATTGTGGCTGATAGCTACTTAAATTGTTTTTAGGAAGTGGAAACTTTGAGAAACTCCACATGCTTGCTTGTTAGCACGCTAGCTAGGTCCTTCGCGTTCCATCTAGCTGGCTGGCTAGGATGGGTACGCCCAAAAGTTGACTACCTTGGATAGCAATTTTATAGTTGTCTAACTTACTCAGGCTTTACATTTTATCATAGTTAAATCCTTGTAGTTAACTGGTACCTTGCTAATTAAGAGGAAAGACTTTAGCAAAAGTTTAATAAATAATCAAAACAAACTTCAGTCAATGCGCTGCTAATGGTTTCTGTTTCGCCAGCTCCAGCCTGTGGACTTTGATTTAGAGTCAATTCGGTTAGACGAAACAAACAACCTAACATTTACTCTGCTCCCTCTTTTAATCTATCTCCCCTCTCTCTCTCTCTCTCTCCCCCCCAATAAACAAAAGTGAAATTAACAATAAAAAGTGAAATATAAAAAGTTC